TTACACCAGTCGAGACGGATTGCTAGAAGCTGAAACATTTAACATTCCCGCCAAAGCCCAATACCTTATCTCTAATTCTTATCACTTATCATTTAACCTCCTCAAACTTTCGACTTAAACTTTTATTATTATTGTGACACTGACTCCAAAATCGGTACCCACTTTCAGCGACTCAACGGGTCTCTGACTTCGACTCTCTCTTATCACTATCACTACTACTATGTTTGAGATTTTATTTGAGATTCTTCGAGTTTTACCCCCCTCGAGGGCCTCGGGTCGCCCCGTTCGTGCTCCTATCACGTTTCACACGAGTTTTCCCTGTCGGTAGAGTCAAATTTCCCTCCGTTCGCCGTCCGCGGGGCCCGACGCTTTGATCGCAAAAATCGCCGCCGCCGTTTTTCTACACACATATATATATATATGTAAATTAAATTAAATAGTATTAAATAGTAAATAAATAATAAATAACGTGCGATGGATATTTTGAACTGACCGATGTATATTATAAATCTATGATTAAATAAATGATTCGATGTCTACGTTTAGTCGTACTAATGACAGTACAGCTGTGACTGAGCTTAACGCACAAAAAACAATTTTAAATTCTGGGTCTCATATCGTGTAAACTTATCTTATTACATTTATTTTCTTCAAATAAACCGATATTAACTAGACGTTGCTAGGCGCACACACATTTCTGTTGTTTGAATTTACTCACAGATAGTAGTATATAATAAATACTGTTACGTTTTTATTAGAGAATTGTTGAACACAAATATTATACTGGATTTTATTTTAATGAGCTTATTCAACTGTTTTTGTGTAGTTCAATGTATGCTCTGTTATGTTTTACATTAATACTCATAAGAATATAGATGACTACTCTTCAACTATATTTTACAATTCATTATCATGTCCATATTAGTATAATTTTTAACAAGATCTATCAGATATTGCAGTGTATTCGCATAATGTATGCTACTGACATGTTGATGATTACTGTTATTAATTGTATGTGTAATATGTGGTAGCACTGTTGTCAGAAAATGTAAACAACAGTGCCATGAATGTGTGTGTGCTAGTAGTAGTAACACACATTATCAAAAAATGTCAAATAATTAATAAAATATAAGAAATTATAATAACTTCAGTGTTCTATATTATTCAATATAATATATTTTATATACGACAAATATGAAATATAAAACATAGAAAGAAATTATAATAACTTCAGTGTTCTATATTATTCAATATAATATATTTGATATACGACAAATATGAAATATAAAACAGTATGCACTATATTATAGTTTACAGTAACTTTTAATACATTTCATTCAAACGGTCTATACATACCTAATGTAGTAAAGTATATTGTATGTAAACAATTATTGGTAGGAATTGTAGTATACACACACCAGAAACATATAGAAATGCAATTCGAGGTTTAATTTTACACAACTCTTATGAATTTAATCGGTTAAGCAATGTATAATGCAATATTTGTTATAGTGGACAAAAAGCCACCGGTATCTCGAATAGTAGGTAGGTAGGTCTCGGCTTAAGGTCACAGTCCCTGGGGTTTATGTTTCGTGACGGCGGCAGTGACGATAAGTCGGCGGCCCATTGATTAATACGGCCGGCCAAACTTTTTGCATTTTTTCCCATATTTTTTTTCGATTTTCTTTCAAATTTCCAATGTTTTTATTTAATTACTCGAATTGTAATTCAATTGAAATAACAAGCATGTCGTTCGATAAATTCAGATGTAATCCATTGTGTGTCGGCCATGGAGATATGCGGACATGGACTTCCGACAGTGTTGTATTATATTATATATAGACGACGTATTAGTTTTCGAATTACGTATAAACCAAACACATGACGTATTGATGGACTATATCATAAGTGTCACTGCAATACGCGCAATACTACAGTATAGTGGTGCCGTGCATACTACAGAAGGCAACTTTGGCGACGACCGACGGGTAATGCGCACGGCTCGGCCAACGTCATCTTGTAACAAACGCCCGTACGACGCACATCAACGCATCTTCAAAAGCCAATATTTTCCTCCTTTATTTAGTGCTTTTATTTTCGTTTCGTTGTGTATTGGGCGCTTTTCATACCGGTTAGTACAAATTCTACATACATTATATGATATTCATTACATTATATGTACAGGTGTATTTATGGCAGCGCGTGCCGCGAGTACTACCTACTGTTTCACTACAAATGTTGTTTAATGCTATTTTTTTTTTTTTATAATATAATAGGCCATGCTATTTTGATCGTGTAGCGTTTCGTGTTTTTGCGTACAACGCGTATAGGTATTCACTTCGCATTCGTCTTATATTGTTCGAATATTAATGGGCGCGTATTGGCTTCATTCTGTTAAGTCGCTTTAACATATTAATAAAAATACGTGACTGTGCTACGACTCGCTCGGTGTATAATTTTTCTTCGCATTTCTCTCACATCACACCGCAAAAGGTATCAAATAATTTGACGTATTAATTCTAAAAATAACACAGTGAAACAATCACCAACGATGATAACACATAATAAATAATTTATTTTTCATATATATATATATACATTACTTTTTACTCCTATCAATAAGATATTATGTGTATAAGTATTTGTTTTCTTATTATAATAATAAATAATGGATAATTCTAAACGATACTTTTTTCTCAGTATATATTCAATATGGTGAAACGCTGTGCGCTGTGTGGAGTTGTGGACGAAATCGTGGATGTCTCCGTACACACGTAATTACAATTCCGAACCCAACACATAATATTAATCACTATAGTAAATACGATATCGTTACATTCCCCTTTAGATTTCCAAATGACCTGCCACGTCGTCTCCGGTGGGTGGAATTTGTTGTCAACAACGGTCATGTCGCGAACATGAACTCTAAGCTGTGTTCCAGGCATTTCGTTCCCGGTGTTGACTACTCTGTGGAAAACGCACGACGACGCCGTCTGGTGCATACAGCAGTACCGTTTTTGGTGTGTATGATTGAGGTGTTCCAGGTACAACCTTACTGAACTTAATGACATTTGAAATTTTTGCTATTGCATAACACAAGTATACTAACAGACAATATAAATATGAACTTTTTTCATTAAAAATCATTTAAATTCAATTCCAAGTGAATACCAAATCAGTTGCACCGGGGTTATCTAATTTTTGATAATGTGATTATGTGCATAAGCCACAGATGGCGTGTTGTACTTGGCAGAACGAGTAAAGGTAAGTATATGATAGTGTATATTGATAATGTATATACTATATTAAAATATTTTTATGATAACAGTGTTATTGTTCTTATTAAATATTAAATTTTAATTTATAATGAATAATTATTGTAATGTTTGCATTAAAAAATTTAATAACCGATCGACATTTCTGTGCCATCTGGCAAGCAATCATCGCGGACCATTTCCTCTTGTAAATGTCATCAAAAATGTTGACGTACACGCCTATAAAAGTAATTTGAAAACACTGCAGGTACTAACCTATAAATTATACCTATATATTTTCTATTACGTTCCAGAGCCTATAGGTACCATACCAATCATTGTAAACGGCTGCAATTCAGAATCTACTCTGACCGATGAATGTTCAAACACACACCAACGCTACCAGTGCAGTACATGCAAAAAGAAGTTCTCGTTCGACTCATTGTATCAGAGGCACATGTCCACTCATATGCCAGGAAAGTATTTATGCAATTATTGTTCAAAAGTATTTAAAAGAAATGACAACTTGGTAAGACACACAAAATATATTCATTTAGGCAATCTAACAGTGAACAAATGCAATACATGTTCAAAGAGGTTCAAATACAAAAGTTCATTGAAGGAGCATATAATAAACAGTCACTTTGTGAAGAAACAAAAACACATATGCAAGATCTGCAAACAAAGTCTATCTTCGAAAAAAACTTTACGATACCACTTGAACGCACATCATAATAAACAAGAATTTAGGTGCGGTACATGTGGATTGACGTTCACCGCACCTTACAAAAAGAGTCGTCACTGCCAAAAAAATGTATTAACAATATTTTAACCAAAAATATATATCACATTGTTTTAACAGCTTACTTTTTCCAGGACCATTGAAGCATAATCCACAACCTCTGAACTGGCACCCATTCACGAATCATAATAATTCAAATGGAACAGCAGCAACCGCCTCCGTAAACGTGTGGATCATTGTTGCAGATGGAAATGATTGAGTCTTCATATATTGAGTACACCAATTAAGTGTAATGTTCCACACTACCCAAGAGGTCTTACACATAAGCGCGTTTTTTCACATAAGCGCGTTAGGTGTCGCAAAGTTCTCAACGGGGGGGTTCCTCTCGCTTTTTTGACGAAAAACCACAACTACCCCGATTGAGACCAGCACTCCCGACGTTGTTCGGATACCTTAAGTCAGTGTATTGCCAAAGTTATAAAACGTTGTTAACATTATATCGACGTATTTTTTATTGATGTAGGGTGGATGGTTATTTTTTAATAATTTTGCAAAGCTAGATTAATTAGTCATGTAAATGTATTATAATATTATTAATTAAATATATAGAAAAACAATTATTTTATTTTAATACATTATTGTAGTTAATATCTTCATTTAAGTACATTTTGAATTCATTACTCCTGTAAAAAAAAAAAAAAATTATAACAAATAATCAGGTAGTTAAGAGGACGTCGCACCCGCATGTTAATGAATTTTTCAAACTTATTCAATGATTTTTTTTTTATTTTAATCAACTTAAGAACGTACGGAAAAATAACATTAAAAAAAATAACATACCTGTGATAAAATGAAGATTTTGTACTGCTTGGGGAGTATGGAGTCTCGACCACCGATGAATGTAACATATTATTGTAAGAGGGCTTTAAACTATTGTCTTTTATGTAATTTTTAATTTTTATTATATTGGAGTTATAGGATTTTAGATTGAGGCGGAAATCAGAATGAAAAGAATGAAGACTTGTTTTGAGGTTATTGTGAAGTATAGATGTAAGATTGTGGTGTAAGTAATTAACTTTTTTTTTTAAAATTGAAATGTCAAAATCGTGTGGTTTAATATTATAGCACCAGGAATAGTTATTAAAGACAGTAGGCTGTACATTTATGATGTTATAAAATGTTTTTGAATTGTTTAAATTTTTTATTAAGGACAAAGAATTTTGGTTTAAAGAGTATAGATATGGTGATTTCGGGGAAGATCTGTATCGATTTAAATTGTTTTTATTGTGTAATGTGTATATTGATTTTTTTATGATGGCAGTGGAAAAAGATTCAGATAAATATAATTTTATTATTTTTGAAAATATTATTACTTTTTTAATTATGCATTTCATCTGCAATTTTTTTAAATTATAATAATTATAACTATATATAATACTTTTTCAAATAATTAATATAATATATGTTAATAACTTACGGTTAAGTCGCTATCATAATAATTTATTTGCAACCAACGAAATATTCCAAGAATCATCACGTCAATATATGTTAAGTTTCCATGTTTTTCAATATTAAATTTTTTGTAACATTTACCAATATCTGTATATACAGTTTTCATATTGGGAACACCCTTTCTGTAAATATATGTATATATGTAAAAACTATTTGTGATTTAAATTTAAATTATTTTTTTTTCAGGAACTTACACAATCATGTCAATCTCAAAATATTTATTTTGTTCCAATCTCTCTAACTTAGAAACAATCGATTTGAAACTTTGAAAATATTCATATTTATATATAAAAAAGCCACCTCCAGATAAAACATCGTTTTTATTATAAAATATGTCGATATGTTGATAAACAATATTGAACTTTGCACATATCAACATAGATGATATTGTCTCGTGCATTAGAATAGCAAATTCTGGATTCTGTTTACTGTAAATAATTGTATATAAATGTAAATGTATATGTTTAAAAATGTATATAGTGTATAATATAAAAATAGTCTTACTTTTTATCATATGACACACATTCATAAAAATTTGTGTATTTGAAAATATCATGAATATATTTATGTTTATTTTTAATAAACAAATAATCGTCGCTTAGTTCTTTGAATTTATCGTACAGCATTGATGGTATAATTTTGAAATATTTAAAATGTTCAAACAGATCATATCTTTCAATGGACCATTCAATCTCAAGAACAATATTATTGAAGGTTCCATCCTTTGGAATTTGCTTCCTGTAAATAATATATGTTTAAAATATGTAAATATGTATATATCAATGTGTAAGAAACTTACTTAATTTCAAATGCAACTAAATTCTCCAATTGTTTGCTGTTAATGACATCAGTGACTTTTTTCTTATAATTGTTAATAGTATTTTGTCTTTGCTTTTTTAAATTTTTATTTTCAGATAATATTTTTTTTATAATTGTATTTTTATTATTGATGTAATTATTAAGAAGATTGTTTTGCCGAATGAAGTTGAAAATTTGTTTATGTAATGTACCTATTTCTTGAATTTTAATGTCGGGGTTATTTATTAAATTTTGAATTTGTGCGTTGTTGTTTTCTATATGGTTAATAACATTAATATTAAAAACGCCATTTTTTTTTAAATAAATATCAATTGCTTCCATTTGTATAACTTCATGGCCCATCCCCCTCAAATCATTTATAGCCAAAGTTATATATCTGAAGGTTTTCTAAAGATATAATAATTTATTAGTTATTTAGTTTTTAATCCAGATTATAAAAATAAAATAAACTTACATCATTCTGATACTTATTATTTTTTAAGCGTTTTATTTGCTTAAATTTAATGACTTTCAACACAGGTGGACCTTCATCTTCATCTATTTTATATATTTTTTCACTTGGAACACAACCAACTAAATAATATAAATATATTAATTTAATATTATGTAAATAAAAGGCAAATTAAACATTATTTATATATACGGGAGGCATCGCTTACTGTGCAGTTCACGATGTCTGGAAGAAGAGCCCGCCATGAGGCAACAGTATGAAATATCGTAAGTTTGAAAAATTCGTAAACAAAAAACCGTTAGGTTAGTTATTACTCGACAACAGATGATTATGAAAACTAAAAATAAATTGAAGAAGAAGCAGTTGAGCGCATTAGAAGTACCGAATAAAACATGGAGATATATTTGTTATGTGCAATTTACTCATTGGGTTAATTCATGGACTTCATTGGGAAAAGGTAGATTTAAATTAAAATATATTTATACAAAATTATAACTACTTTCCCCCCATAATCTAATAGAACCATATTCCTTTAGTTGTGCTTAAAATTATAAATTATAGCCTATGTTATGTAGGTAGTGACAATAACTAAGTTTAATTTTTTTAGGAGTAAGAGTTGTCATTCCTGCATGTGTTATAAACAAAATAAGAAATAAGTACCCTGAAAAAGATGGATTGTATGTTGGTTTCAAAAAATCAAATACATATTTACCCTCGTAATTGTATATATTTATTATTATTATTATATTCAATAAATAATCATCCTAGCTATACAATAAATTGTTGTAATTTAACCTTAAAAATAATAAATGATTAAGTAATATGTACAAGTAAATAGAAAATAATTTTATGATTTAAATAAAAAGGTCAATATCATCAGTTATTAATTTTTTATAACACTCATTTATTTTTGAAACCTTGAATACTTTTTCAATCTCATTTCATCAACATTTGGCTTTGGTATTGAAACTATATTGGTCGGAATTTGCAAATTGTCATCGATTGTACTTGTTTCTGTATTTAAAATGTTGCCTTTTCTTGCATTCATTTTGATATTTTCAATTATAATTTGTCGCCAATTGTTTGATGGATTTTCGTAACGATTTTTTAACGTATAACGGCCGATTGGTTTTGAAAAAACTAACTTATCTCCTACGAGTGTTTTATTTACATTATAATTGTGATCGAGAATGGCAATTATCGAACGTAAATACATTCCATTAAACTTGAGGTGTATTCTTTTTGGCATATATTTAAAGCGAACGTTATGGTAAGACTCCAAGCGACCAGTATGTACAAAATGTTTTGCATGTTGTAAATCTTTTAACAAATCTTTAGCCATAATAATTTTTTTCAACGCAAAGTAAGAATCACTATTAGGATGTATCCAAAGCTTGTTTTTTAAGTCTTCGTCGTTTAACTTTTCGTGTTCAAATTTTATTGTTCTGCCATTATCTTCCCATTCGTGTATATTACTAATGTGGTTAAGAACTGAGGTGAATTTTTCAACAAGTAATGATCCGTCACCATTACAAGTTTGAGAGGACCACCATAAATGGTTATTTATGCTCGTTTTCCATAAATATGCATCTGGATATTTTTTGTCAAGTCCTTTCAATCTTTTCGACAAACTCTTAGACAAATGCCATACATCAAATTCATGTTCAATTTGAGGATATTTTGTACGTAAAAAATATCGAATACCTCTATGTCGATCCGTTAGAAATAGTTCAATATTACAATTTTCTTCTTCAATTAATTTATCGATAAACGATTCGCAAGCTTTTCTTTCCAAATCTCCAGAACCCATACCTTTTTGGACTAAATTAAAATCAATAATTTTACTGCTGTGCAAGTCCATTACTGAGTAAGTGCAATATTTTGCACAAAAACCCGGGGAATCAAATTGCCCATCTCCAGCCAACCAAATATTTTTTTCAGAATTTTTAATTTCATTTAAATTGTTTTTTCGATGTTCACGCCACATATCATTAATTAGTGGACCTGTATGTAATTTAGTAATAAAATCGTATGTTGTACGTGAAAAAAAAGCTAGATTTATTGATCGACAAAAAACTAACATTTGAGCAAATAAAATTCCGGAAAGCGTTAAAGCTGCTCCTATTACAATATTCCCTTCTGGGCGTTTTCCAGTATTTTTTTTTGAAAAGTCCATTGAAAAGTGTGGCCCTCTTCACAAACTGTAGTAACCGACAAAAATGTACCTTGAACATAATGTTTCATAGATATATTTCTTGTTGAACATTCTTGACAGTGTTTAAACAAACATAAAATATTTTCCCAAAAAATTATAAAACAAGCATCGTTGTCAATGTTTGGTTTTGAAATTAAATCATTATCGTCAGCACGTGTGTCAATATCATCTTCATCACTTTCTTCTTCACTGATATCTTCACATAATTCAAATGACAATTCGTTATTAGACTTTAGTAAATACTGAGCAACATTTTCACTGCCTAAATCACATTGAACACCAATATGATTAATATTATTATTTTCATATTCTTGAATAAAATCTATAGAATTGAAACTTAAGTCAAAAGATTGTTCATTTTGTGTTTCCAAAAATTGTTGTTCATCTTTAGATTTTTTTACTGGTGTGCTCGATTTTAATGCAATTGACGTGATTTGATTTTGTCTTTTTCTATTTTGTCTTTCACATCTACTCGTAGATGGTAAGGTAAGAGAAAGGGCGTCCGATTTTGTTTTGTAAATGGTAGGAAATACATTAGATTTTAATCTGATCACTACCTTAGTGTCTGGCATAAGTTGCTCGCGTAATACATCAGACTCATTGAAATCATCACTTTTAAAATGGGACGAACAAATTCTGTTATTTTTTCCTGGTATAAAATGTTTACGTTTACAAAAATTAACCCATACCTTATATCTTTGTGGGGATTTTTCACGCTTTGGGAACCTATAAAAATGAACGTTCTTATTTGTTTCTTTGTGGCTATAACACGCACAACCGAAAACCGAACACAACATTTTAAGTTTAACAATAATTAATTAATAATAGTTAATAATAGTTAGTTAATAATTAATTATACAAATAAAAATGAAAACGAACGAAATAATAACTTTTTACTGTTGAATATGGGTCACATTACGAAGCATATCAACGACTGATGTCTGATAATGAACGGGAAAATATATTTATAAAAATTGTTATGGTGTACGGACAATATTATTATAAAATAATAATAACTAAGATAAGGTTGCAGTCAAAACATTGGAAAGTGGTGGATATTATTTAACATGACCGGCTGGTGAAATATTTGTAAATTACTAATAAACGAAAATATGTATAAATAATGGATAAATTAAATGTTTTCCATCCTTAATAGTTTAATATTTATTATTTCAATAGGATGTTGGTATCAAATTGTAGGAAAATATCTATGCTTTTATAATATGAAATCCATTTTTCATTTCAAGTATTTTAAGTTAATTTATAAATAAATAACTAACGACGCGTGGAGGATTTGCGTGTATTGAAATAG